AAGAAAACAGGCAAATACTGTCATATAAACCTAGCCTTTGGTTCTTTACTGCAAAACAATCTTAATGTATGTATGTTATTGAGTCCTGCACTTAGTTGCCAGTTTATTAGGTACACTTAGCTAAACCTAGTGAATACAACAGCCCTGCAATCATTATCAAAATTTCTGCTCAAACTGATATTTGTCCATTCCCTTTATAGCAGTGAGAGTAGGCTAAATATTAAGAACCTGTCAGGATAAACCAATACAATCCAACAGTGCCACACACTACAGCCTCCAACATAAAGTCAAATCATCACCTCTCAGCAGTTTCAACAAAAACAGAACACTGTAACCTTCATGTTTTTATGAGGATTTATAGCAGTTGTGTTAGACTGCATTAGTTTAAGCTAGGTGCCTCATTTATTATCATTACATTGAGGTCACAGAGTTAGAAATTCAGTTTTCTAAAAAATAAATACCTGTCCATCTTTAGAAAACCCAGAGGGTCGTTTAACTTACCGCTGTTCTGAAGATTTTCCAGAATCTTCAGAGATGAAGATGAAGACATTTGAGTCTGTTGCATGCTAAAAAAAGATTTGTAAACTAGGTAGCCAGAAATTACATATGTCCTTGATCTTTTTATAAAACACAAGCAAAATATGAAGATGTTTTGTATTTAAATACGAAATATATAGTAATATGTATTTTTTTCACCTTGAGCAAGACAATGTAATTTAGTCTGGATTACTAAATAAACTTATTTTTTAATACATGGGGATAACAGTATTTGTGGACTCCCTTCAGAGCAGCGATAAGTGTTGCTAAAGGTGCCCTGTGGAGTTTTCTGTTTGCCTTAAATATTTCTCAGCAAAAAGCACAATTTGTATCTTTGAGGTTTAACAAACACCCTGAATTTATTTCCTTCCGTATAAAACATTTGAAAAGGCAATATTTTAAATCCTGTGTTGATTACATTGGTGTTGACAAGCTGTCTTCTTCTTTGCCATTCTTGGCGTATTGCTACACCTCTTTGGCACTAGTGAACCTTACTGCCACCAACTGATCGGCAGAATAATATGTGTTGTGTGTATCTTGCATGCTCATGTATGTGCACAATACAAACAAAGTGCTCCACAGTGTTACCTGCGGTGAAAAACTCCCCCATACCTTTAAACAAAGATAATAGAAAAATCAGATGCTTAGCTTGGTGACTTGAATGTAATGAATTGCACAAACTGTGATTGGCAACTGAGTGTAAAAGTCCTGTTTTCCTTGAACAAATGAAATATTTATGTATATATATACATATACTATATATTTTATTATATGTTTTTGCAAGATAATTCAACATGTTTCAAGAATTTAAAAATGCTTAAAATTCAATGTCTTAAAATAAGAAAAAAATAAGCCTGAGCACATCATTACACTAAAAGGAAGACAAAGGGCCTAATAATGGAAAAAATATATATTTTTGCACTGTACATTATATTTCCTGGTGATACACCATCGTTAAATGTATCAGTCCTCTGTCTGGTCTCGAATAACACTGCAGCCACACAGATTTTACTCCTCTCTTCCATATCTGTGTCACATAGCTGTGACACGCACCTCTTCAGGAGAAGAGAAGAAGCTGATGAGAGCTGGGGGAGGGTGGGAGGAGGCGGAGGGGTGAGACGGGATGAGATAGAAGATAGAGGGAGAAACCAAAGCAGAGAGAGAGAGAGAGAGAAGCTCTTAGACAGATTATTGCTCATTAGAGGCTGCCTTGCACCATACCATTATGTCAGGACGAATCCTTTTTCATTTGCACAAATTTGCCTGGAATTTTTCTTATTTAGCCTGGCCTCCATTATCAGAGCTGGAAATCAGATTAGCCTATGATTATTCTCTGGCTCGCTTGCCAACATTTCCCCATGCGGCCAACGCCGGTGGCTTGGATTTGTCTTGGCCTTTTGTTAACCTCTGCCCACCAACAATACACACAACAACAGCCGCGATATGAAATAATTCAGTGCTGGGTAATGGCTCAGCCTGAGAGCCCACTCAGGATTAGATTTGTTCATGCTGCACATAAACACGTGTTTTCCATGTCAGTAATAAAGGGGACATCAGGTATCATATCCCTCTTGGCTGCATAAACCATGATATGTACATATTATATGAATTATTATTATTATATAAAGTCTGACTTGATTTTTATTTTATCTTTTTAAACAGGGAGGGAGGTGTGAAAAGTAACTGAATACTGTACTTAAGTAGAATTTTAAAGGGGAACTCTACCAGTTTTACAAATCAAAGTCTGCATATGTGAAGAAAAGTTAAATAAAGACTTTTGTGGCTCCAGAGAGAGCTGTGTAAAAAACTGATAGATAAAACATGTCAGTTGGGGCCAAAGACAATGAACAGAAACTGTGGGTGTGGAGTTAGAAAGAGGTGAACTTACTAGACCCCTGTAGCCCCTCCCTATCTCAGGGCTGGCAGCTTGAGGCTACATAAGCCACTACTAGCATAACACACCCAAATCTCACACCACACTGTATAAGGTCGAGTGGCCTTGTGGGTAACGTGGGCGCCATGTTTTGACAAAGAAGATGAATGTGTGTAATAAAACGGACAATATCTCTGGTTGTGTAGCATCGATTTTGATCCTACAGATCCCAGAACAGGAGTCCATTAATTAAAAAAATACTTACAGTATAAATTCTTTTTAAGTTCCCATTTGGAATCCCTTTATTCCCTTTCTTCACATCTACTGGTACACCACTGGTACAAAAGATTACACTGTAAATTAGAAGGTATTACACTGTATGTAAGAAAACATATTAGTTGTCGGCAGTTAAGAGACATTTCCACTTTAAATCTCTCAGATTTCCATTTAAATAAGTGTTTGATGCCCAAAAAGACAAAGAATATTCAAAAAACAAATGTGTATGTGCAGCAGACATTTGTGTTTATTCTTTCCTACCCCATCCAGGTTCAATTTGGTTATTTTTGCCAGCTTTCTGTGATTTCATGTTGTTTTCTTTGTTGAGTCTAACTTATTATTTTGTGAATTCAACAACATAAAACTGCCAGCAAACCAAAATATAAGAAAAAAAACATTATTAAAAATGCAAGTCTTTAGTGATAATAGCTCAAAATATTATTATAGAATGGTAAAAAATTGTGTTTCCCTATGAATACACACAAATATAGCAGAAAAAATGTAAGAAATAAAACTATCTATTTACAGTTCTATAGTTTATTTACGAGTCCAGAGGGTTTTCACGACTCCTCAGGGTTTATTTTGTGGCCCTTCAGTAGGGTTTTCAATAGAGGGCATTGTTACTTGTAATGGCGTATTTTTACATTGTTGTATTGGTACTTTTACCTAAAGAATCTGAGTACTTAATAACTGTAACTACATATGTCAACATGACTATCAACCACCCGTGACACTTCCAGAAGTACAGCGGTGGAACAGGTGGAATGGTTTCCCATTGCTAAATAATCACTCCAATTAGGCAATTAAAATCCGAGGCAGAATCAAGTTATGGATACCCCATGAATAAGCCCCCCACACTAATCACAAATCAATAAAGACACGTTTGACTGGTACGCTTTCATTAACCTATTGCTTTTGAACTGCTCACACAGATTTTGTGTGGCTTTAATTGGCTGTAAAGCAATAAAGTGTAATCTGTTGTTAGTTAGGCAGTTTTAGGTTCATTAGTAAATAGTATAAGTCGTTGATTACAATCATGAAACGGTTGTTAAACTTAATAACAAGTCAAGTGTAAGCAGGGATGAGAGTGAACACTGCAGCTTCAGAGCGCAGAACAGGTATGTTGATCTGGGACATTGAGTCCTTAGTTTTTGGTTTAGTTATTATGAGATTTACTGGCCAGCACATTCTATGAATACAAGGTACGGTCCATGTTTCTTTACTAAAATCTGTGTTTTCAGCTCATCTGTCACCTCCTGAGGTTTGTTTAGATGTTCTCTTTGCAGAGGTCCATCAAAATGTCCCGATGCTCTTCAACTCTGATGGCGTTTTGTTCATTTTTACAGTCTTCACCACTGAAGCTCAGTTATGGAATGTAACGAGTACATTCAATCAAGACACATCAAGACTGTACTTAGGTTCAGATTTGAGTTACTTGTACTTGAGTATTTCCGTTTTATGCAACTTTACACTTCTACTTCACTACATCGCAGCAAATATTGTACTTTTTACTCCACTACAGTTCCCTGACAGCTTTAGTTCCTTTTCAGATTACAATGTTTCATTACCCTCCTGTCTAGTAAAAGCCATGTATCTTCAGAAGTTTTGATTATGAATATTTGTGATGAACTGAAGGATGAAGTGTTCTTTTATAGGTTGAGAAATTTATAGTTTTGAATTATCCTACTTGTTACGCTAAATAAACTTTTTAAAAGCCCTCTTGGATGAGCTGGAAATTACAAATCTGGAAGGAGGGCTGTTTTTCCCACGAAAAGTTGACTTTTAGGGAGACGTGGTTCTCTGACAGGGACAGTACATATAATGATCTTACAGAATATGATGAATTGCTATATATTAAACTAACCAGCAGTATATAAACCAACCTTGAACAGTAACAACATACATCTGTATGCAACACATTAATATAATATTAAAAGTAGAGGATGTGAATTCTCCTTCCACCATAACTTTCAAATTGTTCTGAATCTACAGCTGCAGAAACACATTGAAAACTCCTGTATAACTTAAAGTAAGGAGATTCATTCTTCAGTACCTGAAATGCACAGATATTGTTTATAATAGTCTTTTCTTGTCTATGCCTCTCCACTGTCTGAGTTTTAATAGGTTTCTTTTTTGCTTTGCAATCAACCAGCCCAGAAAGCTCTAAATAGAGTGCTACCCTGAACATTTTATTATCAGCACTTGTAGTTAGAAAGAAGTACCATTAATATGGATCGAAGAGACTTGAAATACCTCTGCATATAAGTGCTTAATCAATGCATGGAAGAGCAGAAATAAACAGAACAAAGAGCAGTTAGTTTTGAGGAATTTGGTAGGTTTATTTTTATATAGTACATTAAAATGCAGATGAATATGACTGAATCATACAAGGCATTGAAAAGAAAGAACATGTGCAAAGTAATTTTGAGATATACAACATTATAAAATGTTAAAGGCTCAATTTAGTTAACTTTTAGTGCATTTAGGAACCTTGTTTCAACTTGTTTTAATATCATCCTATAAAGTATGTTTTAATACTTTGAAAATCAAATGTTAGTGCAACATATGCAGGGTCTTAAACTGTTCTTAAGGCTTACTGATTTCTCATCCTTGATCTCTGTGAAACCTGCAGAGCAAAATAAAAGATGATCAGAACATCAGTCTCCGGCCCCTCCGCTCTATCAGACCTTCATCCTGCCAACTCCAGCCAGGAGGGTCTGCAGGATATCATGTAGCCATGCTGGAGTCACTGAAAGCTGGCTTGGTAGGGGCAGATTGATGCCTAATTGTGCTTTTCAGAGCTGCTGTGCGCTGGGGGTTACAACAGGGCTGCATGAGGTCTGGGGCCACAGCAGTGGATGCTTCCACCGATGGAATCCAACCTAGCAGGGTCTCATTGATCTGCAGAAGCAAAGGTCACCGCAGTTATGCATCCGTAGGCTGAATGATGGCCACCAGAGTAGTAGCAGAGGCCTCAGCTATATCATTCAGTTTCTTGTGGTCAACTTTTTTGGCTTGTGATCATTTCTAGCATGTGTGAAAAGCAGCCTGCAGATCACATCTGCAGTTTGTTTATCTGCTTCCCTTTTTTCCCATTATGCATCCTGAGACTGGATGATCCATCTCTCTCCCTCTCTCTCTCTCTCTCTCTCTCTCTCTCCCTCCATATCCTTCATCCCTGCATCCCCCCCTCCAGCACTCCACCAGCCAACCCCTGCTATTTTCACCCCACACACATCCGTCGCTGCACTTATCCAGTCTCAGACGGCTGCTGGCTCAATAGCTAAATGGATTATCCAACAACAGAGCACCTCTCCTTCTCCCTCTCTTCCTCTCCCTCTCTCCCTCTCTCTCCATGCACTCCTCTAGCCGTGGGTCCTCGGAGGCGGAGGGGGCCCTATTGAGCGGGGCCCGGGCTCTCCACTAGCCAGGCTCTTTATTGAGGCGTCTATGGGGCTTTATGCTGCCAGCGCTCGGCCTTGCCCTCGCCATCATCAATCATCCTCGGCTCCAGGGCTGCTATCACTGCCCAGACAGGCGGCCAATCACAGCCTTCCAGGAAGCTCTATAGGAGATGGAGAGAGAAGCAGAGGAGAGAAAAACTAGAGAATCACTCTGTTTTTGTTGCTGCCAGTCTCAAGTCTGATTTGATTGACATCTTGTGTACCTTCTGGGCGCATGACAACACTGGTATTAACCAAGACTGGCCTGTGTGGAATCTGATTAGATCATGAAGTGAGAGTCTGAGTCATAAAAGCACATATAACCATGTTAAAATAATGATTATAGAAGGCATTTGGCAGCAATAACAAAGCCTTTTATGAAAGATCTATATTAATCCCTATAGGTTTGAATTTTAGATGAGGGGTTCGGTATACAGGTATTGCTGCAAAACTATAAATCCCCACAGGAATAAAGGAATATTCTGACAGATCAAACCTGATAAGGTCACTGTAAACTCACTATAAGAATAATGTAGGTTTATTTAAAGAAAAGTCCAACTACAAAGAGGAGAATTTCTATGTTAAAGCTCACTTTCCTCTTTTTCATCAAGCCTCAACAGTATGTCGAATTTCTACTCAAGTCTTAACTTGATTTTTTGTGTCTTTTCTTTTTTTTTCCCTTCTCTCTCTCTTTCTCTGCAGCCCTGAGCTCTCATCCTGCTCCAGGAGGAATAGGCGGAATCTGATTACAGACCTATTTTACAGCAGACGCCAGGGCGCAATAAAGGGAGAGAGAGCACGGAAACGGGACTCGGCCCATCAATTAGATCTCTATTAGCAGCCAATGCAGACCTCACCTCAGGAAACGCCGGGGCCCTGAAATTAAACAATTCTTCAAGCCCGACAAGCCAGTCAACTCTGCTATATGTTTGAGAGAGGAGTAGGGCGGGGTAGTGTCCTTACCAGAGCTAACTATACCATACAATACCTGTTATAACATAATTAAAAATAAACTATATGGACCATATGGAATGGCTCTAGAGAAAAAGGAAACACAAAGATCTAAACCTGTATAAGGTCACTGCTACAGACTATAAATCCCTATTTTAACATGTGGTATTGGATATTCCAAGAATCTTAACATACAATAAGGTCAAAAGTATCTGGCTATCACAGACACAATAAAAAATCCTTATGACTGACTTAATTTAGTAATATTACATATTACAGTGACTTTTCCTTGTCCTATAACCTCCTTCCGGTGCCATTAATCTCCAACTGTTGACCCGCTGACCTGAGGCGGGACAAAATGTCAATATTGGATAATTAGCATTCAGCATTAAGGCCATTTAGAGAGGGCACTGTGAGAGGCCTCTGCACTGTCATTAATTCATAATTGCTTTTTCAGAAAATTAAAAGTTTTGCTGTGAATTTTTCCCAGGTTTGCTCCCATAAGAGCTGCAGTGAGATGCCAGATGATTGGATTTTAGTCAAAAGGTTGTTGTATTTGCATGTTAACAGGGTTAATTGGGAAAACAGGCAGGGATCAGCTTCATGCAGTTCCAGGCCAGAGACTCCTATATGTTTATTGGTATTATCTGGTCTGTTACACCCAGTAACCTAGTAAGACAGACCGGTATTAATAAGATGATGTATAGCACCAGTAGCTGAGCCTCATAGCCCTCAGTCAGTCAGTGGTTTGAAGAGGTAACCTTCATCCTGTTGCTGTTAGTTTAGATATTTATTTCCAAAAAGCAGAAAAGGTTTTTCTGCTAATAGTGGGCAAGCGAAATAAGTCAGGTCCATGTATGACTTTTATACAGTCATTACTGACATATCTAGTCTACTTAAGGTTTACAGCCTAATGTTTCTGGTCGATTCATTTCTGGCATGATCTGACGCAAGACCGTGAGTCATGAGTCTCTCAACAATCTTCTCCTGTTTCTCAGTATACTGTGGCACGTATTTCTCTATTTGCTCAGTCAAAGGATGGCCATTTATCATCGAGAGGGACAGCTTCGTATTTTCTACCTTGCCCGGTCGGTTCCAGGACCAAATTCAGCATTTTTATGGAAAACTGCAGTCATTTTGATTGATGAAATCCAAAGATGTCCACAACAATCCAGGGGATCCCCAACTGTGGCGCACCGGCGGGGTGCTCCAGTGTTGTCATTGTTCCGCAGAAAGAAAGGAGCGCGTCCGGAGAACACCAGGGGAAAAAATCACGATTTTCAGTTCAAAAGGGCCAGAAAAGCAGCGTTTCTTTACAGGCAGTGGGAAAGTGGAGGAAAACCTTTTCCACTTGCAGACGAAAACAATACTTGCTTGGCTTTTTTCCTCTTGGTGCATTCAGCTATAAAGGCATGGCCTAATAGAAAACAGGCCAGAATAATGAATTGATTATTTTACTGTGAGGGTTGATGTTATTTGTGTTCTCGCCTCTGAGCCAGCTGAATGGCTGGTGCAACACATCCCCCTGCATTCATCCGATTTGCGCATATAGCCTCATTGTGTGTCATGTAGCTGTGAAAAGTAAAATAACGATTCCTTAAAAGCGATTTCAGGCCAGGGCTGCTTTTATTTACCCGCGCTTGTCTTGTTTGCAGTGATTCATAATGTCACAAGAAATGTCACCTGTCTGGCCTAATTGGCACCTTCTGTTATTAATAACCATGAGTGTGGCTCCCTTTTGCACCCGCGGAAATAAGCCTATATTGCGTACTTAATACAGCGTCACCCAAAGGGAGATTCAATAAATCTCCCTTTAACGGCGTTTCCCCTCAAAACTCCTTCAGGCGAGTGGAGGCCGTGTCAAGATTGCGATTGTGCGCCAGTGCTTAGGACCAGCTGCTCCCAGGACAGACAAGCCCTTGTCAATTAGGCGGTGACAAGCAGGTCCTCCAACTGCCTGCAGGCGCTCCACCAGCCAGCAGTGTACAGTCCCCGCAATTAGTATCAATTTCTGTCGAGACCTCCTTGGTGCGCGCAGACACAGGCTGGGTAAATGGCCAAACATTGTCCAAATAACACCGAGAGCCACAAATGACAACGTGTAATGGGGCCAGTGTTAACCGCGCGGCGCGCTGCGGGGAAAGAAAAACGTTTGAGTTTAGGAAGAGCAGGACACAAACACAGGGTCGTTTCTGAAATAAAGACACAGACCTCAAGCCTGCGACCGCCTGGCTGTAAAATGAACAACAAATTAGCACTAATATTCCTATTTAGTCTACCTAAAGCGGTGTATTTCTTGGTGGAAGAAAGATATTACTTTATTTAATATTACATTGGAATATAATCTGGGATTAGTCACTATGCTTGGCAGGAATTATTTTATTAATTAGCTTGATTACACTCAAATATGCCAAGTATCTTGCGTATTACCACCTAAAGCAGCCCTTATAAGATACTTATAAGCTGTAAATTATGATTAGTAAATGATTAATACTGATTAATACATTATTTACTAATGCTTTAAAGATCATACACAGGAATACATTTGGGGCTGACAAGTTATCCTTCCTTACCTTATACCCCCTTTGAAAAGGGCTGCAGATGATCTGGACCAAAATGTACTTATTAACACCTCATGATTTAACTCTTTATTACTTATTAGATAATTAGAAAGTGAGAAACAGGTCAGCATGAATTAAATGATTTCCAACATTTATACACAAAACATGGAGACATAACTTTATCATTTTTATGATTTTGGCCCTTAGCAACATAAGAAAGCCCTTATAAAGGGCTTATAATAGTGAACAGTTAATTTACTAGTGCTTCATAAAGCAGTTATAAGACATTAATAAGACCACATTTTGGGTTACCAGGTTGGTGTTTATTCTTTCGATCTGGTATTGATAATAAACGCATTTATCACTTTCTAAGCACCCATCAAGTCTGCAGTTATAAATGTTTATAAATTATTAATAAAGGCTTTTAATCTTCAGGATTGCAGCTGCAGTAAGTGTTAATAAGAGACTGCTCATAATCGTCCTCAGCCCTAATGCTTTATGAATCTGCTGAATAAATAAGGACAGGTTTTAGGTTGTAAAGTTGTGAAACCATTTGACCAATTAGCTTATTTCTATAAAAAAAAAAAAAAAAATGCTGATGATCTGGAAACAAAATGTACATATTAATCTCTTTTTGACAGAACTAATTATTATAACCCTGTATTAACAAATTGACATTTTAAGCAACTAAAGAGTTGGCTTATTAGAAAGAGGGAAATCCATGAGCATGTATTAATAGATTCACAACATTTATACACAAGGAAAGTGATTTGAGCATTATTAGCTACAATTAGTGGTTACAAAATCATTTACTAATGCTTTATTGATCACATAAGCCATAGCCTAAATACAGTGAGGGTTGCCAAGCTGTATTTATACTTTCTATCTGGTAGTAATACATTTATAAATGTTCATAATGAATCAGTAATTGCTTGTTCCTATCTGTACTTATGAATGCAAATAAGTCATTAATAGAAGGTTTTAATGGTCAGGTCTGCAGCTGAAAATGTTAATAAGAAGTTAATATTATCATCCTGGTGCAGATCATCTGCAATAACAAAGCCATGACATTTATAAAGCGTGGCTTTGTGAAGGGTACCCTGTGAGAGAGTTGGATTACAGTAACAGCAGCTAAGAGGCACTGAAGCTAACTAACTCGGTGGCTCACTACTTCAACCGAACTGGCAGTTTTTTGGTGAGAGAGTAAATAAATGTCAAGCCAGCACTGTCACAACACTGACAACCCATAGAGGAATTGCTCACCAAGCCCCCTTTGTAAATGGTGTCACCGCTAGCAGCTGGTGGTGGCATTCCCGGGCCTTGGTCGCTGCCCTTTGGCCCCTGGGGGGTTGGACTCCGGACAGGGCGGTCCAGCCGTCTCCACAGCGCCATCATAGCTCGGGTCAGCGGGGCCAAGTTTCCAGCAGGAAAAGCTGGGGCAAAGTCGGCGAACAAAAACCCCAGAGCTCGCCAGGCCAGTGGGATCATTAGTATGAGCGTTTGTTTAACTAATTAGCAAGCTGGGCAGCAGAGGGAGGCTTGTATAGGCGACATGGACGTCATATATGGCAAAGGTGTGGGCATCCGTCATTGTGCGTCAACGCTGGATG